CATTTGCCATCCTTTATCCGACGATGAGCCTTACGAAGTGTTCCAAGCTGTTAGCTCAATCTTGTCCGGTCGTCATAATAGTCCAGGGTGTGCTCTTGCTCTAGGTTGCTTGCCTTCACCTCCTGTAAGTTGTTATCTGCCAGTTTTCATTGAAGCAAAGTGCAGTGAGCTACTTTCACCATGCTGTTGCTATGAGTATCAATACTCGACTTAGCCGCATTACGGGCTAAGACCTGCTATGTCGCGTCGTGCCATCGGCTTGGTCAGATTTGCAAGCCAGCCTAGACGCAGGACAGATCCGACGCGAGTGGGCAGTGGCCTCAGCAATTCCTTCGGAGTGCTAACATCTCCGTGCTCGGGACTATGTTCTTGAACCTGTGACCACGCAGCTTGCTGAAGCAATGCTGGTCATGTTGCCGTACAACCCTAAACCTAAACCCTCCCGGAATGCGGACAAGAGTACATAAAGCCTGGACCGACTGCAGCATCCTCAATTGCCACTTACTGCCTCCAAAAAACACATAGCACGGTCATTGTCATGGTGCTGATTGCTGTCGACTACTAGGCTGACCTTGAAATCGTGAACCTGGTGCTACAACCCACCCGGCTCAACACCTGTAGCTAATTAAGGAGTTGGATTGGCGAGCATCTGAGTACCGAGCTGCGCAAGCGGCAGCTGAGAAGGAGCGTGCCGAAAAGGAAGCCAAGTAGAAGATGCAATGTCTAACGTGCTACTAGCGAGGGTTGATGCTATACGTTCCGCTTCAGCTGATGTAACCAATTCTGACTCAGCATCATGCACCAACCCAATCATTGAGACCCCGGTTTCAAGCTTGGGGGTGACGCCAGAGCCGTCCCGAGAAAATCATTCGCGAAGTCCATGACCAAACAGACTTGCAGGTGTGCGTGTATATGTGTGTGTGTGTGTGCAAGTGTTCAGGCGTTGTCTGGCTGTGGACCAGGTTTTAGCGCTGAGGAGGTTCCGTTGGCAGCATCAAGCAACCTTACGGCTGTTCGAGAAGAGGACAACTTCAAGTCACCACAATGGTTCTGGCTTTGCGTTCCGGATGAATTTCTGGGGAATCTAGCCCGTGACGAGATGAGGACTTTATCGGCTTTCCGGCTTGAAATCAGGGTTTATCATGTTCCGGGGTGGAGTAGACCTGACACCGTACTCGACGACTCGTAGCCTTGGCTTTAAAGTGGCACCATGCGCTCAAGCGAGCGGACCGGAATGAATTCGCACACCACATTGTCTCAGGGTTCAGGGGGCCGGATCTCATGGCCATGTTTACGGATGATTGGACGAGCAGGTGAATGCGGTTTTGGGGCACAGATTGCAGCCCGATGGCGCGGTGCCCTTGTACTGCGACAGGCACGCGCACTTCCGAGCGGAAGACTGCTGAATACTATAGAAAACCTTAGAATAGGGTTTGGGGGCCCTTATTCTGCACATATAATAAGAAAACCTCAAAAAAGTAATTATTGGTAAGTATAGTTACTTAGGCCCTTACATTAAGGTTTCAGGCTTCGAGCCTCTGCAAATGCTCCAAGCAGCCTCGAAGATGTCAAAAAAAGCGGATCTTCAGCCGTCTCTCGCGCCATCTAGTCGAGAACCCTTGTGCACAGAAAAGCTTCGTTTGAAGAATCTTGAGCAAGCTCAGCACGGTTGATTACGTAGGATGCCACAGCTTCGTGCCGGGAAGCAAGTCGAATGCCCAACAGCCAGGTCTTACATGTATTGACATGTATCACAGTAGCTCTAAAAGCGCCTTTTGCATGTTGTTTTCCCCGGTGCGATGTGTAGTCCAGCAAGGTGAGTGGCAGAAGCCATTTCTCCTTCTGGAAGTAGTATGCGACGGCAAATATTTCCAATTCACACAGCCCTGCATGACACGGCTGTCACAGGTGGGCTGGCCAAGCTGCCTTTGCCTTTGCTGGGAAGGTTTCTTATGAGCTCCTCACCACCAGGCTCGAAACCTTAAACCGCGCATGCCAGGAAGCCCAACAAGGCTCCTTGCATCTAGCAGAAGCAGGCATGACTGTCATGATTCCTATGCCTCTCATTCTCGGTGCTTTCCATCTGATATAGGGTTTCGTTTCACGTGCCACACGAGTACTTATTCTCCATGGAAGCGTGACCGTACATTCGGGTTACGATGCCGATGGCCTCTGCAGCATTGGGGCACTCAGATTTGTACCGGATTCCAGGTCACGCAACCAGCTGGCTTTGTCGCCAGCCATGAGCTTCACTCATCTTAACCACCTCACCCTCGTCCCCATCTTCAACTCAACATCCACGTGGGCATCCAGGTCTTTCTCACTGCCACGGCTGTCATGATTGTCCATCACCAGGATGATGACCATCAGAGTTATCCGTCTTCGCCTTGTTCCCCGTGTTTGAGTGCTATTATGGCGAGAGCCCCCATCCCTGTCTATAATAATCATAGACTGCGGGCATCCACCGAAGATGCTACAGGTCCCTAAAAACATCATGGGTGTAGCTGCCAGGCAATCCGTCCATGAGTAGCATGTCCAGACGTCCAACTCTGATGTTGTGTTTGCAAAAGAATATCATAAATCTGCGGATTGAGACGGGGAGGAGCTGGTCAGCCCACCAGCAATCAGAAGAGTTTCTCGTCTGGCAGGCAAAAAGTCCTGACCTATTCATTTGGGGTCACAGACGACCTTGGGCGTGTCTCGCAGATATAAAGCTCACTGTGACCCCATGTGCCCACATAACCCTAAAAAAAAACATTATCGAGCCTTTAAACCCAGATGGGAGTTTCCGAAAACCGGGGGCACCTTGTTCTGGGGTCCTTATAATAAGGATCCTACTATTTAGGGTACTATATTAGGGCCCCCTATTTACGGAAACTCCCAGATTATATATACAGACTAGACGGCACATGTTGCACCGCACCGGTCGCCTGAGCTCGTGTTTTCATGCCAGCCACCCATGCGTTGATTGGTGTAGACTTCATCATGAGGTTTATGGTTTCGGGTGCAGAGGTGCATATCCTTAAACTGTACTAAACCCTAAACCCGAAATCGTAGATAGCACATGTGTGTGTATATATATATATATATATACACATGCGTACATACACAGATGACAACATATGCATGGTGTAGGACAGTTGCCCTGCGTCGCTCTCTGACTTCTGGCAAAGCGTATGCGATCCCAATAGCGAAGAGCCTTCCGCGCAAGTTTACCTAAGCACTTCCAGAGCCCTTTATGTAGACGCCACTTTGGTTTTGGTCTTTACTTTCGGGACCCCAACCGGCTGGTACATAATGGCATTTCCTTGGAGTCGTTCTATGACCATATGTAGTACATTATGCACCAAAATCGTATTCTAATTCCCCTAAACCCGAAACTCTAGTGCCCCTAAGCCCTAAACCCTAATCCCCTTAATCCCTAAACCCTAAACGCTAATTCCCCTAAACACCAAACGCTGATCCCCTTAAACCCTATAAACCCTAAACCCTAATCCCCCTAAACCCTAAACCTTAAACTCTAATCCCCCTAGCCCTTTTTCAGAGACACTCCCGGACATACGTCCGGCCGCTGCATCCTTTGCACAAGCGCAACACAAGCCGCGAAGCCGAGCTGAGACACCTCACGTTGAAAAGTCCAGAGCTTTCGGGGTTTAGGGATTACTTGGACCCCAAAAGTATGTAGAATAACAGCCTTTTATAGGTTTTGGGCCATTATTCTACATACTTTGGGGGGTCTAAGTATAGGGTCTAAGATCTTCAGAGTTATCGTGCGTTTACTTGTTTAACTCTTTCGCTTTCTGGGTTCTTATTCCAACACAACGAACACAAAGAATGTACATTTTCCCCATGGGCTGCTGAACCGTCTAGTCTAGTATAAGACTCAGGGACAGTAGTAGTATCCTTAACTACAAGGTTTAGGTTTTAAAGGGTTTAGGGTTTAGGAGAATACGTTTCCGAAGCACCAGACAAGAGTCTGCAAGAGAAGAGGGAAGGGGATCCCTGTATTGTAAGACTGTACTCACACCCCCAAACCCTATTGCAATAGTTAATTTGCGACTTTTCAGGCCTCAGCGTCAGAGAGTTTAGGAAAGGGCTTCCGAAGCTCCAGACCGGACTGAGTAGCTGTATAGCCGCAGTGGTAACGGACAGTAAGTTTCAAAGATGTTTGTCGACTTCCTCAGCCTAAGCCCTGACCCGCAGATCGTGTCTTTCCACAGAGTAGCAGCATTTCGGTTAGGCTCACCGCGAACACTGCATCCCCAGAGATGCCGGCGCCGTAATCCCTAATCTTGGGCTTTGGTTCCCGTGGGCATCGGTGTTCAGATTGCTGATTTCATCTATCCAAGGGTAAAGGGAGGGACCCTTAATAAGGACCCCTAGGTATATACCCTTTATATAGCTGTATTATATACCCGTTATACAGCCCATTATAGGGTAGGGGTCCCCATTAAGTGTCCCTCCTTTTCCCCTTTGAATCTATTTGCTCCCGTGAAGCGGGAGGCGATCCTCTCCCCTGCACCTGAAGTTTCCCAAAACTCGCTGCGCCAGAGGGTGAGTATCATTCGCACATGGGATTTCGACCTACAAACAATTTTAAAAAAAAAACAATCTCGTGGTGAGGCTCGAACCAAAAGCCTCCAGTGTCTGTGTGCTAGTGTGGGGGAGACCCCGAGAATCTGATTCTAAACCTTGATGGGCACCATGTTCGTTCCATTCCAGAAGCACGACTAGATAGTCAGGGGGAACACTCAGTGCTTTCTGTTTCGCGTACCCCCCCCCCACTCTGGGTTCGAGTGGACAAGACCCACCCCCTCCATATGTATACTGCTGCCAGCAATCCCTAAACCCTAAGCCCCCTATGAGCCCGAGAATCTGAGATGGGGGCGCTGTGCTCTTACCCTTCACCGAGAGGCCCTTCCAAAGCCTTCCCACCCGATTAAGGGTTTGGGATCAGGGTTTAGGGTTGAATAGGCTTTGAAGTTCAAGTTTCTGGCCAGGTGCCCTTCGAAAGCTGCGAGGACTTCCTGCTCTGCGCGGCTCCGATGTTCATACCCTGTGTCCTGTGGTCTCTAGAGGCCACTGTGCAGGTTTTTGTCGTATTCCTTGAAGCACACGGGCTCAGCGAATAAGGGTTTACAGGTTGTGAAGCTTTTTTGATTCAGCAACCGCAGAAGGCGGGCCTCTGTTTTGCGCATTGTGGAGAAGTACACACATGAGGTGTAGCATCACAGCGACACCAAGCAGACACATGTCATGCTAAATTGCAGACTCTGCTCTGGACGAAACGGGATCGGCTCAAGGGAAGCGTCAGCTCAAGCTCTTCGGCCCCTTTCAGCTCAACTTTGCTCCCGCGATGGTTGCCCAGGCCCACACAAGCCAGCTGCTTCGCCGCACTCGCATGTGCAGGTACGGCGCAGGTTGCAGAGACCTTGGCGTGTGCTCCTTTGCCCACTCGCCCGCAGAGTTGCAGGCTGCTCCAGTTCTCCAGAAGACGCAGCTTTGCACGAAGTTCAAGCGGCATGGTCAATGCCCACGTGGTGAGAACTGTCAGTTTGCGCATGGGCCAAGCGAGCTTCGCAAAGTCTCGAATGCCGGCCGTGGCCGTGGTCCGCGAGAGCCCCGGTTGCCTCCGGCCCGGACTCCTGCGGCTCCCTCCACGGTGCCCAGTGCAAGCCCCGCACAAACGCCGCAAAGCAGTCGCATGGGCTCCAAGGAAGCTGAAGAGCCTGACAAAGAGGTCTGGCAAGTTGTCCGAATCAAGAACACTTTCATCGAGCTGACCGAGGAGCCATCCGCGAGGTCCCGCGCTCGCCGCTGCTCAGAACCAACGCTGTGGTAAGGGCCACGGCAGGCTGAGCGCTGCCAGCGACAGATCTAGAACGTGGGAATGGGCTGAGCGACGCTGACCGCACCCATCTGGATCTAGAGCAATCGAACATGAGATCCAAGAAGAATTCATCTGTGAGGAAGTCGATGGTTTCCATGCTGAACTACATCAGCTTCTACGGCAGACACTTGCAAGGAAACCATCCCCGGCCGCTCACTTTGCATGAGCTCTTCAAGGCAGTCTCTATAATCTCTACGCTTGAGGAAGCGGGAGCTTTTCCAGAGACCTGCCAAGAATGACCTCTCTCGTGGTTCCCTCGAATTTTTGTGCGCCATCGCTGCGCTTTTCCTTAATCGAGGGAGGTTGGCCGCACGAGCTGCTTCGGTACTCCAAGAACTGCTTCAGATGTAACTGACCTAGATTCCTAGATCAGAAGCTTCTCATGTTGGCTTTTCCCCATGCGGAGAGGAAACTTCTCATACGGGTGGGAAGATGTGTTTGCGTTTTATCGCGTTCCTGCTCCAGCCCTCTTAGCTTTCGGCGCGACAACTGCGAAACGCTTTTCCAGAGAGCGGAGCCCATCAAGGCTAGGTCGTGTACAATCGAACCAACATAGCCTTGCAACAGAAGTGTGAAGCCACCAAGCACGGCGAGTTCGTGTACAGTCGAACAGATGCCCTGCAAAACAAGCCGCGCAGGCTGTCAGTCTAGGATGGATGATTGATGGTAAGGAACGGTTTACCGGTTTACTGGGAAGCTACAAGTTATGCCAACCCATGGCATGCGGAGCACTGTGCGGTAGTACTATGAGTTTGTTGCTGCTGAGATGATTGTATGCCTACTTCCGCTTGAGTACCGGATGCCCAGAGCAGGTGGGGAGGCGGGAATCAGGACTGTGAAAGGCAGGGATAGAGGACGATGTAGTCAGGTAGTCGCCAGGGCAATTCTAATCACTGACCCTATAAACCCTAAACCCTTTGTCTTCAGCGAATGCATGGTTTTCCTGCACAGTTCGTGCTTTACGGAGGGGCTTAGAGGTCTTGCGAGTCTAAGTTCGGATGTCGGGAGTCGGCCATTTCGGATCTAGGGCTTGCGGGGTTTACCTATAGTCTCCATTGTAGCTCCTTTTTTTGGTTAACCAGTTTTATGGTTAGGGTCCTATAATAGAGATTTTGGTTAACCAAAAAAGGAACTACAATGGAGACTATAGGTATAATGGTTTATAGACTTTTAGAGGGGTCTTGTTTCTCGTTCCATCGAAGTTTGACGAAGACGCGCTTCGTAGAAATTGGTCGCACTCCGTCAGGCAGAAAACGGTTACGACGTGTAAATCTGACGGCCCGAGCTCGTCTGATACAAGTAGGTTAAACCTTTCAGTCGCAGTCATGTGCTCTAGCCGCCCGCACCCCGGATGGCCCGACAGAGGCCGTCGCCTGTCCCTTTCCGATGGCGTTTGTTCTAAGTGAGAGTTTCCTTGTTGGCGTTGTGCTGCGCTGGACCAGTGCGAGAAGTACCCTGAACCGCCTGTATCTGACTCTGTAGACTCTAGACCCTGCAGACCGTGCTGCGGACGAAACGGGATCGGCTCAAGGGAAGCGTCAGCTCAAGCTCTTCGGCCCCTTTCAGCTCAACTTTGCTCCCGCGATGGTTGCCCAGGCCCACACAAGCCAGCTGCTTCGCCGCACTCGCATGTGCAGGTACGGCGCAGGTTGCAGAGACCTTGGCGTGTGCTCCTTTGCCCACTCGCCCGCAGAGTTGCAGGCTGCTCCAGTTCTCCAGAAGACGCAGCTTTGCACGAAGTTCAAGCGGCATGGTCAATGCCCACGTGGTGAGAACTGTCAGTTTGCGCATGGGCCAAGCGAGCTCCGCAAAGTCTCGAATGCCGGCCGTGGCCGTGGTCCGCGAGAGCCCCGGTTGCCTCCGGCCCGGACTCCTGCGGCTCCCTCCACGGTGCCCAGTGCAAGCCCCGCACAAACGCCGCAAAGCAGTCGCATGGGCTCCAAGGAAGCTGAAGAGCCTGACAAAGAGGTCTGGCAAGTTGTCCGAATCAAGAACACTTTCATCGAGCTGACCGAGGAGCCATCCGCGAGGTCCCGCGCTCGCCGCTGCTCAGAACCAACGCTGTGGTAAGGGCCACGGCAGGCTGAGCGCTGCCAGCGACAGATCTAGAACGTGGGAATGGGCTGAGCGACGCTGACCGCACCCATCTGGATCTAGAGCAATCGAACATGAGATCCAAGAAGAATTCATCTGTGAGGAAGTCGATGGTTTCCATGCTGAACTACATCAGCTTCTACGGCAGACACTTGCAAGGAAACCATCCCCGGCCGCTCACTTTGCATGAGCTCTTCAAGGCAGTCTCTATAATCTCTACGCTTGAGGAAGCGGGAGCTTTTCCAGAGACCTGCCAAGAATGACCTCTCTCGTGGTTCCCTCGAAATTTTGTGCGCCATCGCTGCGCTTTTCCTTAATCGAGGGAGGTTGACCGCACGAGCTGCTTCGGTACTCCAAGAACTGCTTCAGATGTACCTGACCTAGATTCCTAGATCCTAGATCAGAAGCTTCTCATGTTGGCTTTTCCCCATGCGGAGAGGAAACTTCTCATACAGGTGGGAAGATGTTTTTGCGTTTTATCGCGTTCCTGCTCCAGCCCTCTTAGCTTTCGGCGCGACAACTGCGAAACGCTTTTCCAGAGAGCGGAGCCCATCAAGGCTAGGTCGTGTACAATCGAACCCACGTAGCCTTGCAACAGAAGTGTGAAGCCACCAAGCACGGCCAGTTCGTGTACAGTCGAACAAATGCCCTGCAAAACAAGCTGCGCAGGCTGTCAGTCTAGGATCGATGGTGGGGGACGGTTTGCGAGGTTACAAGTTACGCAAGCCCATGGCAATTGAATCACTGTGTGCAACTAGTACTATCAGTTCTGATGTACCACTGAGATGATTGGATGCCTACTTCCGCTTGAGTACCGGATGCCCAAAGCAGAGAGGGAGGCGGGAATGAGGACGTTGAGGAAAAGAGGTTGATATAGCTGTTTAGAGAAGCGCCGCTATGGTACTTGTAACAGCTGTTATCAGTATCAGCACATTGTTGGTGTCATGTACTTCTACACGGCTGCAACTATGACTAATGCTTTGTTTCTTGTCATATCCTACTTACAAGGGCATGCTATAGGAGAGTAGTTCCGACACACCGGGGGGCTGGAACCAGCAACGACCGAGTGGAATCCAGTCCATGCAGTGCTAGGAGTGCATTTACGGTGTTGTTTAAGTTAGGCTTCTAGGGACGGGATCATTTGACTTGAGATGGCAACCAGCTTCAGCGTTAAGGTTGGATGCCGATGGAGCAACCTACAAGCCTTGTTTGGAGAGTCCCAGTTGCACTGTCCAGTTGCTAACGTCCCTTTCACTAGGGTCCCAAGTCTCGGAACTGCCTTGAGTTCAAAAGGTCTGGTAACCTTCCATCTCCAGGCAGACGTCCACTTCGAGGAGCAGTTTGCTCCAAAGCTCTTGCAAAGCCGCATGCTTGCTTGAAGTTTTGTCCAGGGCATCCCCGAAGCGAACGAGGGATCCAGGAACCAAGCCTCAAAAATTACATGGGTTTAGCGGAACCCTAAAGGCACTCCAGGTTTTCAGGGCCTATAAGCCCTGAACCCTAAACCCCCAAGCCCTAAACCTCTGAATCCTACTCTAATCTTCAAGTTTCACGCCGACCCGAACGCCGTGAACCTCGCCTGGCTTGTCCGAGTTGTGAGTCAGAGCGTAAACCTCCAAATCCTCAACCCTAAACCCGTTGGCGAGGTTCGGTTCAGGTTGCAAGGCTTTCGGGTGTAGGCTTCAGGTTTTCAGGGGTTCAAGGTTCGGGCTTTTAGGGTTCAGGGTTTAGGCCATAGGCTTCAGGCTTAAGGCTTTACGGTCCAAGATTTGGGTATGGAGTTCGTGGTTTAGGGCTTCTCATGATTACTGCCTTGTGCCACCAAAGCGTGGTCGTGGATCTGCCCAATGGAACCCAAGAAGCTCAAAACAAGAGCACGCAATTGTAATTTGTGCACGTGTGAAGTAGCATGTTGTGTGTGTATGCAACATTGTGGCACAAGTGCTCTGAGGGTAAAAAGGCGTAGATACCCAATGGTACAGCTGCGCTAGTCCTTAACACTTGGACGGGTATCATCAGTGCGTGTGTGCAGTGGTTTACAACAACTATAGGTTATCAGCCGTATAGCCTACGGCCTGGTCACAACTGGTTGGTTACAATACAATCAATCAGCGCATGAGCGAACCGGAACTTATTCCTGCAAGTATGGATACAGTTACAAGCACCGTGAACCCTTTTCAGCCCCCGGTCACGGGTGGCCATACAGGGAGCGGCGCCCCCGGCTTAGTTTTCCCGGCACCAGCCTCAGTCCAACAATTCAACGTCTTCGCACCACAGTATAGTGTCGAAGTACACGTTAACCAGATCAGACTGGAAGTCGGAGAACTAGAGGCTCAGGCAGAAGCTAGACACAGGCAACACATGCTGACCTATCAAGAAGCATCCGCAATTCACACAGCTGACTTGGAGCACAGAGCAGAACGAAACCACCTTGAAGTGGTGGCAGAATTGCAAGCAGCCTTGGCACAAAGCGAGTTCAAGGCGGCAAATCGCGAAAGGCTCCTGTTGTCGGAAATGACTTTAAGTCAGGCGCATTCCTATGACGAAGATCAAAGGTTGCGTCAAGAGCTAGCGGAACTTCAACAAAGCCGAATCACAGACGCATTGGATCAACATCTGGCGGAATCACGCTTTGCACAGAACCTCGAAGAACAGGCGAGACGGCACGTCGAGAATTCCCAGGAAGTCATGGTTGAACAGTTCCAAGCACACTTTGAGTTGTTTAGGAACAGGCAGAAAGAAGAGTATGAGGCGTCCCTTGCTGTATGTAGGGAACAGAACGAAGAGCTTCAGGACAGGTTGGATTCTGCGGAAACTGCACTAGAGAAGGTCTTGGATCAGTACAACCCAGCTACTCCAAAGAGTCAGCCAGTGCCTGCTCCAAGCACCCCTGCAGGTCCCTCTGTTGTCCCCAAAGCTCCTCAAGCGCCCATGTTCTCAATGCCGAACGTAATCCCCCAGGGTGCCAGATGTCTGTTCGAGTCAATGAATCCAGGAGGTTTGAATGCTCAGTCCATTCCGTCTGCAACAGCATCTTCAATCCCCAAGGCAGGACCTTCCCAGGCAGCGCCAGGAACAGCGGCCCCTCCAGCGGCCGATTCCGGCACGCCAGGGACGGAGGCTTTCAACACAGGTCTCCTAGAGACCCAAATGGCAATTCTTCAAAGCCTAAGAACCTTAAGGGGTGAGAGCAAAGTCGATGCTGACAAACCCAAAGTGAAAGAAGCAGAGTCCATCAACCTTCCGGATTTCCCAAGTCCAGAGTCGTATCGTTCATGGAAAACGGCAGCTAGGGAAGCGGTCAGGGCAGCATCAGATTCTCCTGATGAGGCGTTTAAATGGGTGATGAAGGCCTACGACAAAGACGCATCGCAGGAATCCCTTCGAGACCCTGAGAAATTCCTCACCCTTGACACGAAACTTCTTGCTGCACTCACCAAAGTCGCTAGGGGAGAAGTCTCCCGAGAAATCCTCATTTTTAAGGAGACAGAAGCGGCGAAATTCAGGGCGGTACGAGGACGACAGGTGCTCTACCTCTTCGGTCAGTACTTCAAGACGAACGAGGAGGTTGGCTCACTGTACTCCGTGGAGGACCTGCTGAAAGTAAGGTTAATCAATGACGACCTTTCAGTGTTCATTAGCAACTGGGAATCTGTCATGTCTGGACTTAGCCACACACCGGACGAAACGACCCTAAGAGACATTTTCCTTCGTGAACTCAGGCAGTCCAAGAGGCTAAAGTACGATCTTGAGATTTACGACAGGGCATCAGAGGGCACGGATCAGCACACGTACAGGTTTCTTGTGAAGTCACTTAAGGATCTTTTGACCCGAGAGCGCAAACGCAAGAACCGTGACCGCATCGCAAGATCTCACGGAGATAAGTACGGTGCCCCTGCCTCAAAGTCTCCTGGCCGAACTTCCAGCCCCTCTTCAAGAGGAGGCCGTGGCAGATCGCAGAGCCCAAGGCCAAGATCACCCAGCAAAGGTAGATCCCAGTCTCCCAGCAAGCCTAGGACACCTAGCCCAAAGGGAGTATGCTACGATTTCCTCAAAGGAACTTGCAAGCGAGGCAATAACTGCCCTTTCCTTCACAAGAAGAGATCATTGTCCCCCAAAGGCGACAAACAAAAGAAGAAAATCAACGTGACATGCAAGTTCTGGAAAGAAGGCAACTGCAACAAGGGTGACAAATGTCGGTTCCAGCATAAGGATGTAGAGAAGCCGTCAGCTCCCGCACCCAAGTCCGAAGCCGCCCCGGCAGCTCCAAAGCCAGGGTCACCTAGGGCCAACTCCCCTGCCCCGCGCAGAGGGAGAAGTCCCAGGGCCAAGTCAAGTGACAAGGCTCCAAAGACGGCCGCATGCGCCATCGCGTTCGAGAATACAGCGGATCTTGAGATCTCGCCAAAGCTCGCTATGGCAGCGTCACATGACGAGGACTACTGGGAGGTAGACTTCACCGGCAACAAGATCATCCGCCATCACAAGAAGTACCGAACGGATTGGTATGTTCCTGACAATTCATGTCCTGTGAACCCCAAGAAGCTTAGGAGCCAAGCTAAGCTCGAGCAGGTTTTGCCGGTCTCCCCTTTTGTTGGAAACAAGATCTACAACTGGAGGAAGACCCCAACCAAAGGACCCGGCAGCACATGGGTAGGAAAGACGATCTTCTACATGCAAGAACTCCCTAAGGTGAGTTTCGACAGCACAGTAGAAATGATTGCCATCGAACCGGAAGGAAAACAGAGAAAGCATGCCTACCTTCCCAGGGTTTATGAGGAAGTCTATCCCACTGTCGAGAAATGTCCACGCTCGAATCCTAAGGATCTGAAGAGGGCTCTTGTGTGGGCAAAGCAGTTTGCCACCATGATCGAATGCATGGTTCACGACACGCCTGCGGGATGCGGGTATGAATGCATGGAGGAAGGCTTCCTCTGCGAGGAGTGCGAGCGACTTGCACGTCCGTCATGTGCAGGTCTGGTCCCCGGCTTAGAATTCCTAGCGGATACCGGAAGTGAAGAGGACCTCATCAGCAAGTCGGACTGCAGAACTCACTTCCCCGACGTACCCATAGAACCCGCCTCACGTCCTGTCTCTCTGATCACCGCCAATGGGCCGGTAAAAGGTAATGAAGCCGTTAAGCTTGAGGTCCCTGAAATCAACAAAATCCTCGAATGCTACGTGCTAGATTCAACGCCGCCGGTGTGCTCTGTTGGTAGGAGATGTATGGACGAGGGTTTTGATTTCCATTGGTACGCAGGGAAGACGCCTTACTTCGTGACACCCGAAGGCCGGAAACTTTACTGCAAGCTGCGCGGGCGAGTCCCGGTAATTGGGGATGGTACAATCGCTGTTCCCGCCAAGGATGAGAAGGCGGCTCATTCGCCAGTCATCCAGGCAACGTCGGGTTTTCCCCGTTCAGCGGCCTACTAAGGCACGCCAATGCAGCAGAATCCGAGCCGGAAGGCGAATCCTCGGGCAATGGCCTCGACCCCAGGATCGAAAAAGCACTGAAAGAGGCTGCTCCGTTAGGCATAAAGGCGGAGTACTTGAACAAACCAGGTTGGGTTTCGCATCCTTCCTTTCCACAGATGATCGTGGGGCACTTTCCCAAAACCTTTAGAACGCCTGCTACAAGGTTTCCAAAGCACGTCATCCGGAGTACTTGGACTTATGTCAAGAAATGGCAGGAGATCGAAAAGGACGTGGATGTAAGGACGTTGGACAATCGGGTAGCCAAGCTCCCTTCTGATGCCTGCATTCTCAGCGTAACGATCTTTAAAAGACCTGTTGATGACCCCGAGCCGGAGCCTGACAGCGAAAGAGAAGCTGAAGCTGACCCAAAGGACGAAAAACGTTCAGCCCAGCTCAAGCTGCAGGCCAACAGCCCGGAGCACAAATTCACCCACCGTCCTAAGAACCCTTTCTGCAAGGTATGCCAAAAGGCCAAAATGCTAGCGCCGCATGCCAGAAAGCGAGGGGGGAGCTCCACTATCTTTTCGAAGAAGTTCGGAGACCACGTGACAATTGATCACATTGTGACCAAGGACTTGCGTGATTTTGGGATCGAAGGTGAGAAAGTTGCTCTTGTGGTTAAGGACGTGTTCACTAACTTTCGTTATGTGTACCCTGCAGGTACGAAGGAGTCGGAAGAGGTTTATGATTGCCTGTTGCACTACTTCACTGTAGATGATGAACCAGGGATCATTTACTCCGACAACGCCCCCGAACTCAAGAATGCTACTGGAAAATACAAAGTTCGTCACAACACCTCACGACCTTACGTCGATGAGAGCAAGTCTGTTGTTGAGAGAGAGATCCGAACTGTGCTCGAGGGCACACGGGCGAACTTGCTGCAGGCA